GTAAGACGCTACCCGTGTACCCGGCTGCTGTATTTGAGGCGATGGACGCTGCCTCTTTACTTGAAGCAACGGGGGCATGGCCCCTATACTGTTTGCTGCATGCTGTGCTATGTGACAGCTTCCAGCGGTTCAGAGCGGCGACGGTGGTTTTCGTATGCTCTCTTTTGCCACCTCCCTGAAGCCTGTCGCGTCTGGCTCACTTGTCTTTGTTGCCCCTTCTTTTTTTCTTTTCTTTCTTAACATGGTCTATATTTTATTTTTCAGCTTGCTTTTTGGGGTCCGCCGGTCATCCGCCCACCCATTAGTTCAGTTTTAAATGTTGTTGTCGTCGTCGTTGTTGTTGTTGTTGTTGTTGTCTTCGCTTTAAAAACCGTTCCGATTTCTCTCTACCCAGTACCTGCATATGTCCGTACTGATCCAACACTTGACGCGGTCGATTCCCGTGGTCACAGGCTAACTTACCCTAAAGAGGTAAGCTAAAACAAACTGGCCCCGAAAGGTCCGCAAGTCAATAGAAATCAACGACAGATATTCTTTGGAACGGGGTGTTTACTTGCCATGTCTATGACTGGGCCCTGCAAGTTTCACAATAAATTTTGAAGCTTTTCTGAAGCTAATTGAAACAATAGTGTCATCGTTCGATATCCGTTCGGTGGGGAATCAATCGCAAATCATGACCCGTCCCCGAGCTTGAGCAGCTTCCGCCTCCTGTGGCCGGCAAGAGTCGGCCTTCACTGCTGTACCTTGTCTGTTTCGCCATGGAAAGAGCCGGTTGATGAACAGCGAAAGAGGGTCCTGCGTGCTGCGCGCCACCACCTTTTTTTTTGGCGTTTGTTATTGTGATTTTCTTCCTGAGTGACCGTTGTACACAACATGCGGCTGCTGCTGTACACATAATTGCGGTTGCTGCAGCATATGCTCGGAATGTGCTGCAAAGAAAGGTCGTAAGGTTATCGTCTCTGTTGTTTTGGGCTGCACGCGTTGCTCGCGTAGGCGATGCGCGTCTCCTACTTTTTTCCAGTGTCGTTGTCGGCAGCACCGGCACCGGCCGCACATGCATGCAGTGCTGTGTGACAGCTTCCAGCGCGGTTCAGAGCGTCGACGGTGTTTTTCGCCGGTAGAGCCCCAGAACAACGCGAACCCCGCGACTGTTTCATTGTTCTGGGGTCCCCCACTCACCCACCCATCCATGAATTTCAGCAGTTTTCGTTGGGGGGATGTTTTTCTTGTTACGTCCATGACGTGGTGCCCCGAACGAGTATGGTTCGGTAGGGACTCGCAAACCATGACCCTTCCCCGAGTTTGAGCATCAGCTTCGGCCTCCTGTGACGAACAAGAAAACCGGAAATTGTCTCGCCATCCAAACAACAGTTGACCAGTTGCAAAAATAAAGGGTCCGGTCCGCCGAAGATTTTGTTTTTATGTTTCCCTGCCGACAAACAGCCTCGGCTACGGAAATGCAAATCTCATGGCGCCTCAAGTACGGTTTCGTAGGGAATTGCAAATCACGACCTTTCCCGACTTTGAGTATAACTTCCACCTCCTGCGGCGGATAAGACCGGCTTCAAACCCTAGATTTTGTCTGTCTGTGTCGCCATGTCGTCGCCATCCACGAACAGCAGTTGGAGAGTCACAATAAAGAGGGTCCGCTTCGCCACCAACAAAAATATATATTTTTTCGATTCTTCTACAGCTAGATATGATGCTACCATGTATCGGGTATAGCTGTGGTTGAACTTGAGGGGTATAGGGTCTACGGCAGCATGTTATATGCGAAGAGTTAACGCCATCCTCGCGTAACGATCCGCATCTCCCACGGCAAGCAGAATGGATGACGTCATCATGACGCTATGACGCTATTTCTTGTGACTACAAGTTCAAGTTCGCCCGAGCGTTATTGTTCTTGCCGGAGAAAGAGACTAAACTTCTACTACGTACCAGTCCGTGCATGTATCCGGCTACTGCATGTGAGGTAGTGGGTGCTGCCCCTGCTGTTTGCTGCGGTACATGGAACGCTTCCAGTGGGTCAGAACGGCAAGGGGGTCTTGTTTCTTCACTTGTTTCTCAGGTCTGGTCTCCTCTACTTCTTTGTTTCCTGTCGCTGGCGGTCTCTCTTTTGTTATCGCCCTTCGTTCTTGTTCGCAAGAAACTGTGAGGATGTAAAATGGCTGAGTCTGACTGTTTCTTAGGGTCCCCCGCCCACCCACGACCCACCTGTCGGTATGATTCATTCGCGGTCTCCAATATTTTCAGCAGCAGTAGT